CTAAACATTGTTTAACATTTTGTTTTTACCCATAAGACACCGTATACGCTTTCAACCGCCAAATCCTACTATTGCATAAATAAGTGTTTACAGCAAAAAATGCGGGAGAACAGATTTTTTTCCAGGGAGCATATTTGAACACGGATGTTCTTGATTTCTGCAAAACCTTTCTCTCAGAAATCCTATTTCATTCTATTCTTCTGAAGAAAAAAAGAAGACCCAAACGAGCTTGGAAAACATTTTGTGAGCTTTGATGCATTAAACAAAAAAACACTTGATATATATATTTTAAAAAAAATTCTCGGTAACTGAGCTCCCACTCAGAGATTTTTCTTTTTTCTTTTGCGTCTCAAATTCATGTAAAGCATTTCTGATTTACCTGTAAGTTATAGTTTACATCATTATTTTCAGCAAACTTATTTGTGTAAATGTTTGTTCAGTCATCTTAATCCTATGTCGAATAAATTATCCCACAAAATTTACGAAATCATGACAATAGTTGTTAGCAAACAAAATAATGAAAGATATCTGCACCATCAATTCAAACATTCCTGTAACTTTGAACCAATCCCGTTTCGTAGACATTAATAATAAGGCGGCTATGCAGCAAAACAAGAAAACAAATTCTAAGATGACAGGAAATGAGAACAAGTATAACAATCTCATTCATAAGTGGAAAAAAATAGGATTCCTTTGAAATGCAATGCTGGATATAGATTTTCTCTCGAGATTATCCATCTCTTCCCCTTCGCCTATACCTCTTCTCAATCCATTCTCCTACAATCTAACCCCCTTTGGCTTTATTCAATACTTGCAGAGGAAGCCCGGTGTCATATGAAGGAAATGCCACTCAAAGTATGAGGAAAATCCGTTAAGCATGTGAAAGTTATGATATTTTAGAGCTTTAGTTGGTGAAGCGCAAAATGACAACTCGGTGACGTAGCATTCGAGCACCGGACTTTCCCGTTTGCTCTATTACTAAGAATAATACATTTCTATCTTCTGAAGATAAATATTCAATTTAGCACGTTACATAGATATTACCATGGCACCTCTGTTTATGATATCACCCAGTTATGAAATATATCCATTCCTTCATCAACAAAAATACTAATCTATGACATTTTCAGTACAAATCAGTTGGACAGTGGCTCGATAGAAACATTTCAAAATGGTCAATTTGAATAATTTGAAGAAAAAAACAATATAACTTCGTATCCTTTATAAGATTTCTCCAAAGTTTTACTCATTTCTTCCTCCCATTAATCTTTTTTAAATCCAACTTTCCAAGGAACAGAAGGCATTCTAGGGAAAAAGAAAGAGACAATACAAACGTTTGACGCTTCTGGGAAGTTATTCGAACGTCATAGCATCGTTGTGTATTAACTTTAAGTTTACATCAGTGAGGATTTCCCCCTTTAATCTCTCTCATGAAACGGGGATTTCGCACGTTTCTAGTAAATGTGTCTCTCGAGGAAAGCAGGCAATCCATTGCGAGACGGAATCAAAGGCTCTCAGAGTAAGAACAAAAAACCAAGTACGCCATTGCTGGTGTATACACCACGCAGAATTCATGTAATATATTAACTTAACATTTTGGTTCTCGACGGTGAAATTTTAGGAAAGCGTGCAATATTTGTCAATTTTATTACAAGTTTACCCTAACTGATTTTCTTTTCGGTCCTTTTCAGAATAACTTACAATGTTAACATTTTACTTTATGAGGGGAACTATTCTATCTCAAAAGTAATCGGGTAGGAATAAAGGGTCATACATGTCGTGAATATTTATTATTTAAACAAAACAGTGCGAAGAAAGATAAATCGGGAGGCCCAAATGGTTTAGTGTATTAAGAGGGTGATGTATTTACATGTATTTACTGTATATATGTAAACATAAATGTATATGTTATCTAAATCTGTGGATCATCCACAGATTCATCTATTTTGGCATTCTCGCAGGAAAAAACGGCATTCAAGGTTACTTATCTTGAAATAGACAAACTACTATGTGAAACATCTTTGTGCCTGCTGTCACGGGTGTTCGATTAATCGCTATTGAGTCGTAACTAAGTGGTGAGCCCCTGCATAATCGCGATAGTCATGTGTCGTCTGCGCTGCTGGGCGAACGAGGCAACGCCACGGAGTTCGCCGCGAGGTGTGGACCACAAATTATGCGCGGGAAATGGGCTGCAATGGAGTGTGAAAGTAACGTCCACTGGGGCGGGATTTGATTGAGTTTCCTAGATGGGCACTTTGGTGCGAGGTGGATGGACGTAGGGGGAAGAAAGAGACGCAAGCTGAATGAGAGAGAGAGAGAGAGAGAGAGAGAGACAGAGAGAGACAGAGAAAGACATATAGACAGACAGACAGAGAGAGAGAGACAGACAGACAGAGAGACCGAGAGAGAGAGAGAGAGAGAGATAGCGAGAGAGAGAGAGAGAGAGATATATATATATATATATATATATATATAGGATTCGGGTATGAGAGAAGAAAGATAAAATGAAGAGGGAGGAACAGCCACAGAGAGAAAGAGAGACGGAACGAGAGAGATGTAAATAGACCGACAGAGAGATAGATAGAGAGAATCAGTGGAAAACATAAAACGAAATTACCAAGGACAGCGGAGTTACAGAACAAAAAGAAACAGTTTCGGAACTAACAAAAGGTGTGTAAGCCATGAAAATGAAGGACATTCCATAGAATTCAGAAAAGCGTGAGAGAAGCGAGGGAAGTGGAAATCTAATAATGTAAAACTAATAACGCGCTGAAAACTGGCTGTAATAGATCAACCTTAATTCACCCGGTCAGATTTAATTAAGTTTAGTGGAAAACCGTTCAGTACTTGTAAAATGAATACAGTGCTAACTTAAGGGTAGATTAGTGGGTGTTTGATATAGAATTAAAAGACACTTGATGGATAAGGCAGAATTCATTAGATCGTTGCGAGCTCATCCAACAAATAGAAGAAGACAAAGTATCTGGCGTTTGGACATGTCGGGGGATGAGATGAAAGAAGACAACAAATACTAGTAGCTGGTGAAAAGAGGATCCTTTTTTTATGTGATGGAAATAAGTATGTTGGTAAACAATGATTTAGTCCGATTTGAAACCGTCAAATTGAAAAAAGAAGATTTAGTGTAACTGTGATGATCACAAGTCATTTGCACGAACGTAGAGTAAAAGCGAGAGAGAAAAAGAGAGAGAGAGAGTGAGAAAAAGAGAGATTGCGCGTGTGCGTTAAAAAGAGTACGAGAGAGAGAGATAGAGAGAGAGAGAGAGTGTGTGTGTATGTGCGTGTGTGTGTGTGCGTGGTGTGTGGGTGGTGGCGTATGTGAGAGAGCATGTGTTTTTACAAGAAAGAGAGTGATGAGAGAGTGTGTGTGTGTGTACAAGAGAGAGAGAGAGAGAGAGAGAGAGAGAGAAAGAGTGATAAGAGTGCGTGTACAAAAGAGAGAGAAAGAAAGAGAAAAAGTGATTAGAGTGTGTGTATACAAGAGGGAGAGAATGAGAGAGAGAGAGAGAGTGTGTGTGTTATTGTTATTCTTCTTATTATTAGAAAAAATCTAGCGATTTTATTCCTTTATTCTCCTTCTTTGCTCACTGTTTTGTGAATAATTTATTTTATTTGTGTTATGAAAACGTAATTAAGATTTATATTTGTATGGAATTATTTGAAGTGATTTTTATGTTTAATAATTTATTTTGAATGAAATCTCTAATACAAAAATATGAAGAAAAAAGAGAGATAATGTGAGAGAGAGGATTGATAAGAGAAAGAAGATTAGCCTATTCATGTAATTGGACATAAAAACGACAAGCGTGCTGTTATGCAGGTAAAGATATAAAGAAAAACGAGAGAAAATATTGTTCTCGTTAGCATCTGGAAGGATGCTAGAAATGGTATTCTTCAAAAGAAAAAAAGAAAAAAGAAGAAAGATAGAGGAAAAACAAGAGAAGTGGCCAGAAGGCGACATAGTTCGAGAGTAGATGGGGACGGCCATACAATGTAGGAGAAAATATATATATCAGAGAAATAGATCAAGAAACCATTTTTTTTTTCACTCGGTCGATCGCGGAGGACGAGAATCGTCTTTACTGTTCCGGCGATAAGTTGATGTCATTTTTTTGGAAACTGAACACCATTTATAATCCTCAGGTAAATATCGCATGACAACTTATTTATTGACTTAGCCACCATGTTCTCCTCAATAATATGTTTACTTCACAGGGATGGGATCTGATATAGGTTATATCATAGACAATCTATCCGTGGTTGCATAAACCGAGAACATCTTAACGCCGACGTATTGGATGGATAGACATACTCGATCCGAATCTTATCAAAGATTAATGCGGACGAGATGAATCCATTAAATTCTAAAACGTTATAACGTATCCTAACCAAACAACGCAATTAGGGATGCATTATTCAGTTGCGTATTAAATCACCGAGACAGCAAAATCCAGTCGGGCCCGGGAATTTGTAGATCATCTAATTTAGTTTACTAAATGCTTGCGAGAATGAAAATGTCTATACGCCTTTAAAATAACAGAGGAATATATTAAATAAATTGTTAGATAAGCAAAATTCTGCTGTAACGTCTTTCTTTTTCATTTTACGAAATGAAACAGTCCCCTAATAGTGAACAATACAAGCTTGCAATTCGCAAAGCACACCATGACCATCTGTACATGCTTTAATTACATTAGTAAATACAATTTTTCATTCGAAGTATAATAAGACGCCTGGTAGGATAAGGGTATACATGCATCAGCATATCTAAAGAACATTATTTTTTATCTGAATGTATCTCTATTTATTTAGATTGGAACAAAAATACACGAGGACAAAATTATTGAATTCCTTTAATGATTCTAAATAAATGCATGGGAATCAATAACAAAATTGATGAAGTTGATGCTTCCGTATTTATCAATACATTTTATTAATATTAAGTTGAGGTACGAAGAAAATATTTGTATGGGAATACTTACAAATGCTGATTTACCGCTAGCACAACGTCATCTATGTTGATTTTACGTCGGTCTGTTAAAAGGAGAAGAACGGAGAGGAAATTTCACTACATGAACACTCAAATAATATCCAGGTTAACGTATAAAATAGAAACTACTCTTCAACCTTCAGCCGTATGAGAGAATAGTATCGAGGGAAATACTAGTAGCTGAGAGGAACCGCTCGTCAGCTTTCCCGCTCGACACAAACAATAATGAATCGATACACGATACACAGAGTACACGGCGCCTTTTGTCGTGATCACGTGATCACCGCGGTTGAGCCAATACGGACGCGTATAAGGTAAATATGCAAGCCTAGGGTGAATTGAAGTGAAAGGTATGACATCAAAAGGGAAAATACATTAGTGTGGGGTTATCTAAATATGACTGATTTCTCTTTCTTCCGAGTCAAATTGGAAGCTAATTAGAGCGTAATAGGAACTCGACCATTCCACTTTAGCACGACTGATAAACACTAAATGAACGAACTCTCACAAGCACCCTCTTAAGTGCAATATTTCTCTTTCAATAATTAATGATGTTTTGTTTGGGGTAACATGTTTCTTTCGTTGCTGATTCTGCTTTTCACATGTATTTATTGGTCGTGGTTGTTACATCTGTCTCAAATTCATCTAATGAAATTTCCAATATTTTTAAATGTTAATGTAATACATTACGCGAAAGCATCTTCATTTTGTATCCTTACACAAAATTTAGAATATTACCATGAATTGTATTCCCCAATATTTGCTCTATATAATATCCTAATGTTTTATATCTCTTACTATCTTGTATTTTGTTTTACTCCTCTTCTCCATCGTCCTCCCCTTCCCCTTCCCCACCTCTCTCTTCTTCTCTATCTGTCTCCCTCCTTCCCGTTCTCCTTCTTTCCCTTCCTGCAATTCTCCTCTATTTCCCATTTTCCAGACTTCCTCTAGACTGGCGCACTTCTGTCTCTATATCGTTGTTTCCTGTTCTCTCCTTTCTGTCTCGTCTCTACCCTGCTCTCTCTCTCTCTCTCTCTCACTCTCTCTCTCTTTCTCTCTCTCTCTCTCTCTCTCTCTCTCTCACTCTGTTTCTCTCATTCATATCATTCTTTGGAGAACAAAGCCATTAATCATTTAAATGGTTCTAAACAAAACTTTCCAGCTGCTTTTTAATTCTTTATTTGTGTATAATGTATATATTCATATTAATTATGAAATTGATTTATGATGCGAAAAATAGAACTTAAGGAAGCCATTGCATTTTTTTCTCATACAAAATGAAATAAAATTCCAGTCTCAGATAAATTCTCCCCACGTTTTACATTAAATCCATGCTTTAATTTTGTGCCGCATGATTACATAGAGTGCAATTTTATTCACAAATTATTTTTAATTTCACCACAAATTGTTCTCCCTTTAAATGTCATGATGTTGTGATTCCATTTGGTGTTGGGTTAAATAGAAATGTATTTTATTCATTAGTCTGTACCCCCTTGCTATTGCAATATCTTGTTCGCCTAAATATCACCAAATGCCTTTGGGATTTCACCTTCTCTCCTCTTTAATATGAAATGGAAAGAAAAATGCGGGCATTTTTTTTTTATTTCATGTATTTTTCGTGTCGTCACTTGTGGATTGAGGCTAGCCCCAGGACGACGTCGCTCTCCTTCATTAAAGGCAATTAGTAATCATGAAAAATGAAATTACCTGAGAAATAACTTGTCGATTCTTGTTTGCGCTGAGGCTTGAATGCAGCCCGTAGGGGAAAACAGAAAAAAAGACATATTTCCCCTTCTTCGATGCCATTTATGAGTCATGCATTGAAAAGGGATAAAATAGTTTGTTTTCAAACTTTTTAAAAATCGTAAAGGTGGTGTTCTAAAGAAGATCGATACAGAAAAAAGAAGTAGACATGCTTGTATATTCAATTGTTGTGAGTGATTACTTAGAATGAGTGTCATCGAATTAATAATAAGTTAGGAAAAATTCTACATCAGCAAACATAAAGGACATAAATGGTTTTCTTTAGAGAATAATTATTAAAAAAAGGTTTAATAAAGAAAAAATAGTCTCATATAATCACTTCACCTCTTTCCAATTGTAAATCAATGTTTCTAGTTATTACTCTAGTTGTGCAGGTCATTTGCTGCGCTTTTCGATATTTCATTTTGAACAGTGGTTAAAGGAGTCATGGGCGTGTCAAATATAATTGTATCACACAATCCATACCTTTCACAAGAATGAAAATCACTCATCACATTCCCAATATCAAATGAATTGGAATTCAATCAATCAATGAAAAACTCAATTACTGATTGTTTTCATAATGCCAACCAATGTCACATGTTATACGCCTTTCGCGTTTCAACATTTCTAGGCGGCGGTAGCAAGTACAAGGCCGGGGCAATATTTGCTACCTATTTTTGAACCTCATGAAATATCACACTTTGTCACCGGCAGACCGATAGAGTGTCGTTCAGGTATACTAAGAATAGAAAATGATGGCAATACCTATGACGTCGGATGAAAATGGAATTGTCGGGCAGTAAATCACAGTGTTTGTCGATGTAACATCAAACATTCTCACGCAAAAACAATTAGAGACCCATAATGATAGAAAAACGAGAAGTCACTCGCTAAGAGCATAGAATGCAAATGAATGACCAAATATAGAGTTGAATTTTTCAGGGGATCTTAAATGTTCTCATCAACAAATAATGATTAGTAGAAAGTGCGTCATGGGTTCTACGTTCTTAGACTCGTTTATTTTTGCACCAGCGAGACTAACTGAGATTGGGACCTCCTCCTCAAAAGATGCGAGCGGAATGTTTTTTCCATCTCTCTCAGTTGAGGGCCCTGTTGTCGTAATAATTTCATCTTTCATGCTTGTGACAATTTCTCGTGTATCAAATTTTGGGGTTTGTTCGTTTGGTAAACATCTGGAAGGGCGAAAATATTTTTTGAGAAAAAGGTTTGCCCTCTTTCAAAGGACGTGTATGTAATAAAACTGTCGCCTTTGGCAAGGTCGTAAAATGCATTTTCATGTAGATCTTGTTCGACGCAAAAATCAGGAAAGGAAATTGTACAAACAATATATTTCTTTTAACTTTCGACTGCATTGTGAGTGTCACGTACAATTTAGATCACAGAGAGGGAAGAATAGAAAAGGAAAGATTTGGGTTCAATGTTCCGATTCCACACCCGAAGGCGTGCAACAAGTTGTAACATTTATTGTCGTTTATCACAATAACCTTATATATAAATGATTTAGAGAAATCACTAAACATTGCTTGAATGACGATTCTGAGAAGAGAGCGTGACGGAGAGACAGAGAGATGGGAAAAAAGGAAGAGATAATACAAGTTATCGGTTTTATTTCAATAACAAAGTCAAAAGATCTAACAATGGAATACCTAGGTCCTCTGTCAGAAGAAGAGAAACGTTTCTCGACGAGAGATACGAGAACAAAAACAATATCGACGAGGAATATGAGTGATTAAGTTACCTGAATTTAGCCAAAGAGTATCCCTGACCCAAGTTTGGTTGCACGTGGAGCAGTTATATGCAAATTTATTCTATACAGAGTTACTCGTTATAAGAGAGTCGTGTGGGTAAACCTTAACATTCGAATCCCTTGTAGTCTCCATTCAACCCTCGGGGGGGGGGGGAGACAAAAACAACTAGTAACAACTAATAACAAGATTAATTCAGATAATATTCAGATATGTATATACATTGTAAACTTTTGTAACCATTGCAATTCAGTCTTTGGACTGCGAGAATGGATAATTATCAATTAAATCCTTCAATCATTCAATCATCATAAAGGACAATCCAACCTTTGTAATAAGTTCTTTTGTATGAAAAAAGACAATTAAAAGAAATAGAATGGCGAAAGTTTGAAGTAAAATCGGACTAATAATAAGAGAGCTATGAATCTTTGAAAAGTGAGATCACCCAGCGGATTGTAAGGTAGACACGGACATATCTCCCGTTTGTCGTGCACAACAAATAATTTATTTCCGCTTTCTCCGAAGTACCTTCTCCTAGACCTGGGGCCCTATTTGAAATATATATATGGATTACATATTGCTATAGTTCCTTTATAGAGAAAACACCCCCTTTCATCATACTTTTTGAAAAGAAAATACAATAAGTTACTTTGTGTGTTGATACAAAAGGAAAGTTGTCCGGCGCTTCGTAAAAGTGACATTACCGATTCACCATTATTTGAAGTTCCAATTGAAAATTCAGAACTTTCTTATATTTTGATCCATTTCATTCAAAATATCAAAAGTCTGCTTCATTAAATTTGCTTTCTTTAAGTGTAGTTGCTACGATCGAAGGTTGGATTTTTCTTTAAGTTCAGATGAAATGAGAACACCATAGTAGTGGAAAGTACGGAAGCCCATTAGTGCCACCTACGAAATAAATTTAAGAGAAATTATCTGGCGGCCGCCAGTTAATTATCTGGCGGCCGCCACTTAATTATCTGGCGGCCGCCAGTTAATTATCTGGCGGCCGCCAGATAATTATCTGTGTCTTCACGGTTGTTTCATCGCAAAGCATGCCGGGACATAATTCTAGTACATTTTTGCCTTCGCCGTGATCAGCTGTCCCGTTGCAAACAACGGGATTCTTATCGAAGCAACATCTTAATCTTGTACATAATCCGCTATTCTGCAGTGATTTTCTTTCACTCCAGTATCGTTTGTACGGAAGCCCATTAGTGCCACCTACGAAATAAATTTAAGAGAAATTATCTGGCGGCCGCCAGATAATTATCTGGCGGCCGCCAGTTAATTATCTGGCGGCCGCCAGTTAATTATCTGGCGGCCGCCAGATAATTATCTGGCGGCCGCCAGATAATTATCCGTCTCTTCACGGTTGTTTCATCGCAAAGCATGCCGGGACATAATTCTAGTACATTTTTAACTTCGCCGTGATCAGCTGTCCCGTTGCAAACAACGGGATTCTTATCGAAGCAACATCTTAATCTTGTACATAATCGGCTATTCTGCAGTGATTTTCTTTCACTCCAGTATCGTTTGTACGGTAAGAAACCAAAGTTTGTGTTTATTCATTTTTATGACGAATAAAGCTGATAATACGACGTAATGCATGAGAGTGGGCCGGGTCAAGCTTTAGTAAATGTAGGCCTAGACCTCTAGATCTAGTCCCGTATGTTTAAATGTGTGTGCATTTT